TCCTAATCGATTAGGAATTGATTAGATATGCGCTTACCTATTTTTTATTTTTTACTTATTTTAAAATAAACTTTTTATATTTCATTAAGTCTTATAATGCTGTATAAAAGCGTATATTTATATAAATATAATGTTAGTGAAATGGTAGTTGAGTTTTGGGTGCGCTAGTACTATTATGGTATAAAATGGTCCACATATGCCTAATTGGGTTAGACTTTAGGTTGATGGTCAAGGATAACTTTGGGATGAGCTGCGCCCTCCACATTATGCCCTGCTTTGAAAATACGCATAAATGTCAAATTATCGAGAGACTCAAATACCCCCTTTTACGTCCCGTTGAGAGCGTATGGTGTCATGTCCTGGTTCGCGAACGTCTTCTTTCCGGACCACTCAATTGAGTCTGCCACTCTTACTACTTCATGTAGTATATACCTATATATATGAACATGGATAGTTATACCGTCACCTGAGTAGATGAAACCTGCGGCCCCGGCGTGCTCCGAATAATTTACCTTTGCCCCAAGAGCTTCCTGTACGTCAAGTCTTTGTAAGTATGCAACATGTGTCGAAGGGGCTCGTAATGATGGATCGCGAATGTCGCCGAGATAAAATCCAGGATGGTCTTTGTTTAGAACGCTAAGTATTAGATATTTGATCTCATCCATATATAACTTCCATGCAGTAAAGCAAGTATCAGTCATACCGACATCTGCACATCGATCAAGCGCAGGCTTGCATTTTGTGTTGTACCGCGTTAGAAGCTCCTTATAAAAGGTCTCATTAATGAGCTGTCTGTATGAATTGTTGTACAAGTACTCGATGTTAGCTTCTTCTTGAATAGTAGCGTCGAACCACCCATTACTGACACCCAGGGCCACTAAGCGGATCTCTTCGGCATAAAAATTGCCTTATCGAAATTATAACGTTCTGGTCCAAGATATAGCTCGCGAACTTGGGTCCATAATGACCATCGTGCGACTCGATGAAGATACCAAAGTCGCGATTTTCATATTCGAGAAAGCTATCGTAAAAAGCTTGAAGCAGATTCTAGACTAGAGAAGCAGCCGCTTTAGTCGAATTGACAGTGGCGTTATAAATGATAATCTGGACTTCGTGGCGCTGTGCTCAAAAACATTATATTTGACTCCATCCTGCTCCTCGAGGTATCGCTTGTTCGCAGTGCTTGGCGAATGTTGACGCAGCCAGAAACGTCCCGATAACTAGTTCAAGTGTCCACCACATCGAGAAAGATAGGCATTTACCAACCGTGAACCCTCTTAGCTAGATAGGAACAACTTCCTAATATCAAGAGGGCATATAATACACAGCGCCATCGCGGCCTTTGAAGGTTAAGCTTAAATGAACTTCATGGGGCATACGCATGTTCCAGCATGAGGATCCTTCTTTTAATCCCATACCCTGGTCGTTAGGATAGTGCATAACCACATCATACCCGGACTCCCCCGGCACTCGGCCGGCAGGGCTGGAAATTAGACAGGATACCTATTTGTGAATTAATTATATCTTACCAGACTCATCTTACCGGAGATAATAATGGTTGCATGGCCATAGCGAGTACCCCAACATAAGATAGAAGAATCACGTTGCCCGCGATCTATTGGCCTCAATGAGGTGAGAGTTTTCCTAACTCTTTTTTTTCTTGTAGATAAGTTAGCATTATTTCGACCGGCGATTCAAGTACAGGCCTATTACTATTGAGCAATTCGGTAATAATTTTAGACTATGATGATCTAGATAATTGGTATATAGAACAACTGAGACTTTATATATGTTCCTGTAATCTGAGATGTACGGCTTTAAGACTGGCAAATAGTATGAACTGATCCCCGATGTGGGTCTTGGCGTTCGGAGCCGAACTTCTTGATACCGTTAGTCTCGTTTGGGGCTCAGCAGAACAGCATCTCTTTTCCACGTTCCGCGTCCCGACTCTCCCTTTTCCCACTTTCATTCAAGTACAGTCCTATTTATCCCCCTGAAATAGATTAGAGCCGGGTTTGTTTCTAGAAGAAAGTCCCGTGATAGAGATATTGAAGAGTTGCGATTTTTGCAAGGCACGAAAAGTGCGATGTAATTAATGGTAAGCCTACCACACGTATAAATCAACAAACACTTCCGTGACATCTGTAACTTAAGGCTCAAGTCAATTCACAGAGTATCCTGGTCCTTGTAATCACTGCATTGTAAGTAGTTTAGCTATGATGTCTCTGGAGCGTTAGTCTTTGATAATGCTCCGCAAAGCGTCGAAAGGTGCAGTGCTATTTCAGTTGTAGGAAAATGCCCCAAAGACGAAACGATAAGTATAATACTATTACTATAAAAGACTATTTGGGATTGGGTTTACTAAGGTTACTAATAGTAAATGTTGTCCTCACATCTCCTGCGCCATTAAAAACCCAACCTCCAAGTGCGGCTTAAGTTGCTGAAAACGTAAAGTCTTAATACCCCAATATAGCGTCCTTTGATAGAATTGTAATTAACTTATGCTAAAGACTTGGCGGCATTTTCCCGAGCTATATGTCGATTGTATATTAACTGCAGCCAGAACATATAGAGCTCTTGGAAACGAAAAGACATTTGCAGTTAAAGTACACCCTTCTTAACCCCTATTGTACAAACTACTCTACTGAATGCAACAGGGGGTTGGACTAGTCAGCAGGTTGTAACTACTTGTATTAAGTTTATAATTTGCTGTTAGTACTTAACGCAGTTGGAAACGTTAACTTGGCTTTTTTTTTTTTTAACAATCGATTGTTGTACTTATCTTCTGGGATTTCTTCTTGATTGCAGCATTATGGCAAGTATATGCAGCGGCTTAAACAACTCAATAAAGAAGCTAACTTGAATATGTAGCAAATGTAGCAACTCCAGGTTCTATATAGAGTATAAGAAGGGACCAGAAATATGCTCCTGCACTTTCTGACATGGCTAAGGCAGATGCCCACACCAAATGTTATTTTCCTTAATCTTTAGTTTGTTAACGCAGTCTGTCTAACTCACTAATAATATACTTCAAGAAGATCCATCCTATTTACTTCCTCAACCAAAATGATTTCGAAACTATGGCTCATGCCCCTTATTTTGCTGGCTGTCTAGCGCATATTAAAGCACTATATTCTTTCAGGTGTGTGACTTGGCTTGTAGCACTAAGTTTTTAATAAGCCACAATTATTAAAAGAATATATTACAGTCTCTTTAAACTAAGGAATGATATTTCAGATAGAAGCAAATTCCCAAGTGTTTTTAGAAAAACATTTATGAACTTTACTGTTATTTAATCTATTCAAACTTGCTCAGTTAATACTTATCTCAATAATAAAACAAATTAGTAAAAGAGCTTTCTATCACAGTTTTTCATTTGGTTAATTCACAGAATAAAAATATATCTAAGCAAGGCAAGAAAATCCAACAAGTAAGAACTATCAAATTGGTCTCTTATCCCTGTGTTTGACTTCGACTGGTATTTCAATAGTATTAAGATGTGTTTATATTAATAAAACTTAATATATCCCACATGTATTTAAGATACTGATACAATATTTTCTTACATGAAAACGTTTCTTACAAAACCTGTTAAAACGTTCAATATACACTAGTTACTTAACTTTATGCTAAGTTATCCTTTGCCTATAAGACCGTTCTATCCAACTAAATTAAGTCCAAGATTTGTGATGCACCAACTGCGTCAAAACTTCATCGGTGAGCTCAGCCACAGCCTGATGCAATATTAAGCGATTATATACATCTATTGCCTCTTTTGTACATATTCTCTTAAAGGGCCAAGGATATTCACCTCTTACTAGTATTTAATCAGATAAACATAACATTTATTTTATTGTGTTGTTTATGATAGAAAATCTGCGGTTCCCTTTCATATTGGCAATAAACAGAACTAATGGATTGTCCCTTGGTGAGCATTTCCCTTCCTAGCCTCTCCGACTACCATCGTCGTACGCGTCTATACTAGAAACTGCTCCTGCTTTCCGCCTCGAATTAGATGTCAAAGGATTTCCTACGTCATCAGAGTCTAAACAACGGTAATGATAGGATGTTACTATTTTCACAAAGCTCGTCTATTTCTAACCCTCTAGTAATCTTACCTCTAGTATCTACGAACCTTGTCTGCTGTGAACTATCTCGATACCTAAGACGTCCCCGTATGTATGTTCTAGACTAGTAAAATATCCCGTAGCCTAAGGCCAAGTAAATATGAACCGTCTTGATCGTCTCAACCGTCATGACCTTCCCAAGCGTCTAGACCAAGCAGCCGAGAAAGACGTTGCCGACATACTTACTAATTATGTCACATGTATATGTTAGGACATTGTATCATCCCGCTTTGCGTACATAGCTGAAATATCTCCTACAGTTCTTCTAAAATAAACCCCCGTTACCTGCCACTCCCTTCTAGGTTTTCAACTTTGGACATCACACAAAATCGACGTCTTCTTTCCCTTTGCGTACATAAATGATCTGTTTCCCACAATTACCATTCTCAAAATTCCGTTTTGACGAAACAACTCCCACTATTTTTCCCTCAAGATCTTCATCGTTAAAGATCACTAGCAGTAGTATTTTGTCCTCTGTTGCATCCACAATATCCTGGGGTTCTTATTTTCGAAACTTCAACCTAGCAAGATAACTCTTACGTCTTTTTCTACACCCTTGGGCATCACGCAGCCTTTGCATACATGACCTACTCCTAGCAATTCTTATTTTCAAAGTTAAACTTCAGCAGCATACACTTCGTTGCCTTCTGGAATTTCACTATTGAAATGTCACATGGCATTTTCCACGATTAAATCCGCAACTTGAGACAGCAAGCATACTACAGCCACGTTTTATTCTTCTTTGCATATACTCTGGTCTTGTTCATTGAAAGACTTGTTTGAAAGCTCCTGAACACTACAAGGAGCTTCTTCCTTCCAGACTGTCACTCTTCGACGACACGTATCTGCATTTTCTTTCACTCCGAGTACAAGATGAACAACTACAAGGATGTACCGGAGACGATTATACGAGATATGATGATGGTGGGACTTGGCCAATTCAAGCAGATGGCCATCACTATTGGCAAGATGACCGATGTTGGCGAAGACGACGCCTCTAGGATTGCCGACAAGTTCAAAACAGATATGATTAAGGCATTCGGTGAACTTGTTGATGCTAACATGGAGGCTATCGAAGTCGCTATCAAGAAGCAGCTTGCCAGTAATGGAAGCAATGACGAGACTAAGCATAAGTTGGATGCTGCGGCACCCCAGGTTCGCAAGCGACCTGCTGAGGCCGTAGAGGGCCAGGAGCACGCCAGGAAGGGTAAGCTAAACTATATCAACCTAATATCTTAATCTCTTACTAATACTATACTTACTTTTTAGCCCCCCGCCGTGCCCCCCGCCGTGCCCCCCGCCGTGCCCCCCGCCGTGCCCCCCAAGAACCCGACCATCAACAACCGACTCGCCCGGCGTCCGCACGCGGCTATACCGCGCAGCTTCGGCCCGCACGCCCTAAGGAGGTCATAGTCATTTCGGATGGAGATGACGAAGACGATGAAGGGGATATGATTCCCGCCAAAGGTTTACCGGTCGAGGAATCTCGTTCTCAACGTACATCTCAACGTACGTCGTCGCAGGCCATCAACTACAGCATGAAATATTATTACGATGCGCGTGGTCTTTCCGATATCTAAAAATAAATACCTACGGCTGACTATCAAGTGTGTGAACGAATGATAGTCCGAAAGGACCAGAGGATGATTATATGAGTGTTACTGTTCCGGGTCTGGTTGTCTTGGTTCTGGCAGGATGCAGGATTTGTTTTTGTGTTTGCATGGATCGACATGAGAAGGATTATGATGATTTGTGAGGCCTACAGGCTGAGAGACGACCATATTGGTCATCAATCTTGACTAGGTACTATATTAATCAGGTCTGCTAAAGAATTCTTAGAAGTCAAACTTCAGTCGAATGAACATAGCATGCATACTTTGATGTTACCTCCTTATGCCTTTGCTCTATTTCTATGATATGTACGAATACCTATGATGCTATATCTCCCTATCTAACCTATGCACACGCAGTGCCTGAAAGTCACGTATGCTTTATGTTATGTGCGATCAACACCTAATAAGCCGCGGGGCTAAAGCGCCTCAAGCTTCGAGGTTCATAAACGCCTATCTACTGCCTACTCGCCGATCCCGTAACTCCTAACCCGACTGAAGAAGAATGGCTTTCCATTCTTGAGCGGGAACTCTGCCCAATCATCTGTTTGCCTGTTGTAGCTCCAGAAACCCTTCCACGTTAGCCTGTTGTTATTATTCCTATTTATGGCTGCCGCCTTGCCTGTACCCCGGAACGTAAGCTCCATGCGGTACATATATTTCCCTACACCCTCCGTCTCGACGTACAGGTCGCCTTCCGCGTCGACGAGAGTCGTCTCTGTATTAGTATTGTTGGTGCTGTCGTTATTCTTATCCGCTGACGAGGATAAGCGCCAGCGCCCCTTTAGCGCGGAGCCCATAACAGCGGAGGGCAGATAATGGGGCCCAGAGCCACCGCGGTGCAAGGCCACATTGTCTCGTGTAAGGTGGTGCACGACATGGGCAGGCTCGTCGGTGGTTAGTAGGCTGATGGCGGTGCCGTCGCGGAACAGCCGCAGGTACCGATAGTAGGTTACGATGTGAACAGGACTATTCCACGTAACCTGGTGCGCTGACGCCTGTCCCGGGCGGATATAATTGACCGTGCTAATATAACACCCATTAAATCGCACTCTTGGGCGCCGGCGGAACATTATCTTCCAGGACGATGCGTAGGGTCCACGAAGTAACAGGTTAGTTGTTGCTCGACTCTCCTCCTGTCGTTGACGTGCCAATTCCTCTAGAGTAAATGCGTCATTAGAGTCGGTGAGTCCCTGTGTTATGTCTAGAGGCTCCCAGCTGATACCCCTTTGCCAATGGTAGTGCATCCCACCGAAACCAAATTCGTGACCCAAGCAGACCCGTCGCCAGATTTGATCCTCGGTAGCTACCAAGTAAGCCAACCTCTTACAGACCCTGGCTAAACGCACGAAATCACCCACATCTGCGACCGCGACGTCTCGCAGGATATTGACGAGGATCTCGTCGGGCAGCATAGAAACGGGGCATGGGGGCGCTGCTACATCTTCGCATTCTGGTGGTGCTCCCTCAATTTTGAGGCTGGAGAAGCTAGCAATGAGGTCAGGTAGGGATAATGCGGGTGCTCCACCATCTAGGGAGTGATGGGCGGTATTGGGAACGGTTACGGGAGCGTTAGATGGGTTGATTTGGCCCGGCTTTATCCAACGGCCTGGGAAGTGCTTATTACGGTAGGATTGGTCGACATTGTCGTCCATGCGGAAGGCCTTTCGATAGAGTTGTAGACTATCGCCGAGTTTACCGGTCGCCTCCCTCTCGACGGCTTTTTCGTAGAAGTCTAAGGCGGTCTGGGGCTCTTGATCTATATCCTTAGTAGGGTCTCCATCATGACGGCCGAGCTTCTGGCTTGTTACGGATTTGCTAGTATCTGGCTCATCGAAATGCTGGGGTTCATGGTATTCATCCTCATCTTCGACTCGTTGCATAGTCTTTGAAGTTGATTTTCTATGCGTAAATTCATTTCTCCTCGGAGGCCTGTTGGTTGTTATAGTTGAAGAGGATCCCGGTTGATTAGGGGCTGTCCTCTGCTGCTGTTGAGAGCTAGCAGTGTTTCTTGATCGAGCCGAGACTTCGGCTCGCCATTGTTCTCTAAAGCTCTCTAGCTCGGATTGTATCTGCTGGGTCGGTTGGTCCATACTGGCAAACTATCGTCACAATTCTATGAATATGAATTTTAATGTACAGTGCTTAATTAAAGACGGTAATTAGGGTAAAATCTGGCGTATCGTAAGTACTTTTATGTGGGTATTAGAGAATGATTATGTATCTAGTGAGGATGAGGATTTTGAGGTGATTCGCGGAATATCGGATGAAGTTAAAAGTCGGCCTCTTGTAACGTTGAGGTACAATGAGGTGCTCCGGCGTGACGGGTTAGAGCTGCGCGGGATGCATTATCTAACTCCATCTTATCGCCGAACGACAGTCATATACCTGTATGTACTATGTAGGTATGTAGCTGTGGAGGGGTCTTAGTGGGGCAGCTAATCGCTAGCTCAAGACGATCCGATTGGGTTTGAACATCATGGATAAGACGATAAGGGACCGTGCGTTACCTTTATCGAGAGCGGTTCTCGATTTCCGCTGCGTCGGTCTGGAGTAACTCGGGCTCGGCTTAGGACCGGTAAATTCTCTTTAAAAATATTACCTAGTTTCGCTATTTTGTTCTTATGTATTAATGACGCGAAGAAAATCGCCTTCCCGCGATATCGCAGACCTCCATCACTCATCTTTGATATTCTTCGCCTCCCCTAATCTGGCCACTCATAATTACAACGAAATATCTACGTAAAAATTTTCTACATAGCAATACAATACCTTTACAACCCATTCACCCTCCATAATATTGGGTCGTCCTTTCTTTCTACAACAGATTGAGCTGCCATAAAGGGCGCCCCCGGCATAACCGGGGCCAGCGCATATAAAAATGGCATCTAGTCATAGCTTCGCTGGCCACAACCATGACCGATTAGGAGGAGGCGAAGACGCTTTTGCGGGACAGACGATGATTTCGTCCCAAGATGACGGCAACGACGGGGTGGATATCTCGGCGGGGCAGAAGATGCTCTCTGCCATTACCGGTAGTCTTCTTACGTCGCTTCTAGGTAAGCTTTTCTCTACGTCACCTTAGCTACAGGGCTATAAGCTGATATTACTCTGTACAGTCACTCCTCTGGATGTCGTCCGTGTTCGACTGCAATCGCAAGGTTCGTCGCAACCCATTGCAGACTTCCAGAGACTTGCAATTTCGTCACCTAATGCTTTTCGGCCATCAAACCTTGGAGTTACAGCGTGTTGTCGAGAGGTGTTCTTTATGAATAACAATGCCGAAGTATGCGTCGCCGGTCCGATTGAGAGCGTATCCACTTCTGGGGAATGCGCCGTGGAGGAGGTACAGAAGAGGCGATTTAACTCGACTTTTGACGGTATGAAGAAGATTGCTCGGCACGAGGGCCTCACGACGTTATGGAGAGGTTTATCGCCGACGTTAGCTATGACCGTTCCCGCGAATATTATCTATTTCACCGGTTATGATTGGCTACGATATAGCAAGACAAGCCCTGTTAGCAAAGTGACTAGGGAAGAATATGCGCCCATGGTAGCCGGCGCATCCGCACGAGTTGTTGCAGTTGGTGCGGTCAGCCCAATCGATCTATTCCGAACCCGACTACAAGCCTCACCAGGCTCGACCGCAGCTGGCCATTTAGCGAATACTTTCAAGGGACTCCGAGAGATGGTGGCTGACAAGGGGTATAGCTCTCTTTGGAGAGGTTTAACTTTGACTCTCTGGCGAGATGTCCCCTTTTCGGCCATGTATTGGTTTGGCTACGAGACGATCAGAGGTAAGCTTACCGATGCGCGAGAAGAGCGACGTGGCAGGCATTCGACTGGAGAGAATGACGGTTCAAGAGCGCGGCGGAGAACTAGGTCACAGAGCAGAGAGAGTCACGCTGCGACTTTCATGGACAGTTTCACTGCCGGCTGTCTTTCGGGTGCCTTTGCATCAACGATAACGATGCCATTCGATGTAGGTAAAACCCGACGGCAGGTTTATCAAGACACGTCAAACAAGGCCTTGCCTGCAGTGGAGAAGGCTGTAGAACCGGAAGCTCAACACATGCTTCGTCTCCTCTCGCACATTTATTCGACGGAAGGACTGGCAGGACTTTGGAGAGGATGGCTGCCTCGTACGCTCAAGGTTGCGCCGTCTTGCGCTATCATGATCAGCAGCTACGAAGTTGGTAAGAGAGCGTTTAGGAGTATTAACGAACACAAAACTCAGAAGCGCCACGAAGGTCGGGCTGACGAGCCTTGACATGTAGCATCACCCCTCTCCCCTCATTTCTGGATTTGCATTAGTAGGCGTTGATCAGAGTTACGATACCTTGCTTAGAAACCAAAGGGAACCGGGACCAAAAATTAGGGACGGTTGGACGGTTTGGTTTAATCACGCGATGTTCATTTTAAGAGACTACTGCGTAAATCGGAATAGCCCTGATGATGATTGTATATTATGTTACGGAAGTTAGAGGGAGAAAGAAGGGAAAAGGAAAAGAAAGCAAAAGAGGCGATGTATCATCACAACTCGACACCCAAGCTCTTGATGAGCTTTTAGACGAATTAATATGATGAGAATTCTGATGAGAATTATGAATTACGTAGATTGTGCTTGGACCTCTGTTTCCTTTATTACACATCATTTCTAGGACTTTTTGAGGCCCTGAACCTTGCACATCGTAATCGCATAAGCCACTTTACGCGTGTGGAAAGTCGCGTCAAGTGCGAAAAAGGGGGTTCGCGTCTTGGAGACGCGTCGAGATTCGGATCCCCATTTAACATAGAACCTTGGACCTTTCCAATGTCAGCTTTACTACAATTCAATTGTTCACTTTATTTTCCGCTTGCACGTCTAATTTGACCAACCTGTCAGAATTCCGTCTTTTTTACTTATTTGCCTAATAATTATTTTGGATTGATCCATTTTGGTGAAAAGCATCCACGGTGCCGTGTCTACGTCATTTAAGACACCTTCCGACTTGGGATATAGGTCGCCTATTAACTCGGCCTCGACCCCGTCTACACATACACTTATACTTACAAACTCTTACTGTATCCAAACCTGTAGCTACTAATACAATGTCTTCCAAAAAGCGCAAGAGCGAAGGTCTCACATCCGGTGACGCCAACAAGAAGCCCAAGGTGAACGCGAGTATAACATCGTTCTTCGGCGCACCTAAGAGCTCGCCCACCTCGTCCCCCGCGAAGTTTGGTGCGGGCCCCGAGCCGGCGCCCCTCAAGTTCGACAAGGACAAGTGGGTCGCAAGCCTAACGCTAGAGCAGAAGCGCCACCTCCAGCTTGAGATTCAGACCTTGGATCCTAGCTGGCTGGCTCATCTTAGAGAAGAGATTACGTCTCCCGAGTTCATCGAGCTCAAGAAGTTCCTTGAGAGCGAGGTTAAGGCCAATAAGAAGGTGTTCCCACCTAGGGAAGATGTCTACTCATGGTATGTTGATGTCGCATCTCGTCTTCTTACGCTCTACCTCTGCCTACCTCCGTCCTACATACTCGATACGGGGAATTGAACTAACATCACCCTCTCAGGTCTCGCCACACACCTTTCAACACAGTCAAGTGTGTGATCCTAGGTCAAGACCCCTACCACAATGTCAACCAAGCGCATGGCCTAGCCTTCTCCGTCCGGCCTCCAACCAAGGCTCCCCCTTCCCTCAAAAATATGTACATCGCGTTAAAGAAGGACTACCCGGACTTCGTGCCCCCACCCAACGGCGGCGGTTTGCTAACCCCTTGGGCGGAGCGCGGTGTACTCATGATCAATACATGTCTTACTGTGCGTGCGCACGAGGCCAACTCCCACGCGAACCGTGGCTGGGAGCGTTTCACGCAGAAAGTCATTGACTTGGTGGCGCAGAAGCGCACTCGTGGTGTCGTGTTCCTGGCCTGGGGCAACCCCGCCGCGAAGCGAGTTACTAAGGTTGATACCAAGCGCCACCTTGTACTGAAGAGCGTGCACCCGAGCCCACTGAGCGCATCGAGGGGGTTCTACGACTGCGGGCATTTCAAGCAGGCTAATGAGTGGCTTGCGAACAGATATGGTGAGGACGGCGTTATCGATTGGAACCTTAATCCAAGCGAGAAGAAACCGGAGGAAACGAAGAAAGAAGTTTTGCCGCCTGTCGTAGCTGTGGGAAAAGTGGGTGAGGAGAAGGGTGAGGAGGAGAGTAAAATCCTTCAGGAGGAGGGTGAGGAGGGCAAAGAAGATAGAGATGCAGCAAGTGATGCTGAGTCAGAGTGAGTTTCACAAATTGCGCATTATGCGGGTTAGAGATATAGGGCGTCCAGATGCCTTCTTTTCTAATTGTAGAGGTTTCCTGGTCGGCGTTCTATGTGGTTTACCAGATGCCTGGACTGGCGTGTGCTCGTAGTATATCGAGATTGTATAGGTCGACAAAAAAGCCTTTCAGGAAGAGATGGTGCATATGAATAATACCTAGCTTGTTTAAGTTTGAGCTGTGTACCTTAGTGGATAATACGCTTTGCATCTGTGATGTTGCTGAGCGTGTCCTTAGTCTGTCACGTATATACCTAGGTAGTCGGTATTGTTATAATCGCCGTCTGTTTCTTCGCCTACTCGAGCGACATGACTTATCAACTGAGTGCACTGGAGTAATGAGCCTATCCTTCTTGTGGAAGTAGTACAATCAGTTAGCTAAGATAACGAAATGTTTATTGTGGTAGGTTTGACAAATACCCGCCTAGAACACCGTCTAACCTAGGAACATATAATTGCCTCTACCCTAGAAGCGAAATGAAGAATTCGCTTCTCAAAACAAATATCATCTAATGCTACAATAAACTATGTAAGTAATTATGACAGCAGATATCATATTATAGTACTATGGATAAAATGTCAATAATTATGCTGGATCCGTTAAACGCAATCTGCTCATGGGCAAGCAACCCAGTACCTAGTTTGAGATTGAGATCAGAACCGAGATACCCTATGGAGGGTACTTGGGTATGGCAATGGCACTATAGCATCTTGGCGCATAAACGCGATCTGCGACGACGTTTCGTTGTGATGCTTCATAGTCTGATGAAGGCCGGCTTGTAAGGCTCATCTAAACAGATATGTCATCATCGGCATTAAGCTCGATTGAGGCCGTTGAAGAAATGTCTCGGGAACCGGATATGGAGACCTGGCTACCCCACCATAGACCACCGTTACATGCCGCCGTTGTACATAACGAGGTACGTATGTTAGTCTGTTTGTTCCATCTCTAAGGATTGTTGGAATGAAAATTCCGCTGGTAGATAGGTA